CAGCTATCCAATCAAGGTGGTAAATTCAAGCATCAGCCACTCATTGCATGCTAATTCTATCAGCTATCCAATCAAGGTGGTAAATTCAAGCATTCAGCCACTCATTGCATGCTAATTCTATTCAGCTATCCAATCAAGGTGGTAAATTCAAGCATTCAGCCACTCATTGCATGCTAATTCTATTCAGCTATCCAATCAAGGTGGTAAATTCGAGCATTCAGCCACTCATTGCATGCTAATTCTATTCTTCTTGACCTAGGACATTTTTTTTTTTAAATTTGCTTGATGATAATGCGAATAATTTTAATAAAAAAAGTTTTGGATGAAAAGTTATAGCATGAATTAAAATAATACAAATTAAAATATGAACATCAAAAATTAGTTTTTAAATAAGAACTGGATGCCTGAATTAATAGCAATGCAAATTAATGAAAATTTTACAGTATGTCATTTCAAGATTTCATAATCGTGACAAACATAGCACACTACTGTCATGAATTTTTTCTATCAGTGAAAATCATTTTGTAGTGAAAATTTCTCACCTGACTTATTCTATCTTCCCATCCCATTCTCTCCAATCCAGCCACTGCCAATATAATAGCACTGTATTTATCACCTTCGTCAAGTTTACGTAATCTGGTGTTCAAATTACCTCTCTGTGATGTGTCGCAAGCATTAAAGAAAATTCCAATTACAATATTTGTCGTATTACAAGCACATCTCACATGAAATATGTCTGTGTACCAAAGGATGTATTCTGCATGAGAAGTGATGTTACCAAGTTTTATAATTATGATCTGAGAGTTCCCTAGCCACCATGAGCACTGTGTCCATTTTCGCCCAAATCAAAACACAGGCATACTAGCCCCTATAATGAATTTGATACAATGACACTGAGCTTCTATCAATACTGTATATTAAATGTACAGTTAATTTGTCTTGATAATAAAGGATACAATGTCTTCAAACTTTAAATGTGGATATCTTCTTTGTAACTGAGCTATTCGTCTTAAGGAGCTTGTTCCAATTACACTGTAAAGAAAAAAGCAGACATCTGACTATGATCACAGTTATGTCCAACTTAAATGATTTGAAACTAACATGGCAGTTCAAGGCAGTATAAATGTAGATGTGGTAATAAGAAACCTGATTGTTGTGAGGAGAATTGTGAACCAAACTATTCACCAGTAAGTGAGATGTTAGAGGCTCTACCCATTACATATTGCCTGCAGACATGTTTTTTCCATTAATTTTGGCTATCCTTGGAGTCTTTCAGTGGGTGATGTGTTACAATAAAATGAGATTTTTCTATTGCTATGAACAGATTAACTATTTTGTTTCAAAATATTGTCAATCACCTGCAGAATTTTATCTACTGTCCAGACATATTAATGTGCAAAAATGTTGGGACTGTGAAAAAAGTGTGCAGGTAATTGACAATATTTCAAAACAAAGTAGGTATCGGTATAAATAATATTACAACATTGAGAGCAATGTCAACAACAAAATCTTGGTGGTTTTCACTTTAGTATGTAATCTCATACAATGCCAGTTTGCAAAACGACTGCATATATACAAATACATAACTGTGAGTTTATGGGAATAAATGTACGACCAGAATAGGTCACATGACCCAGAGTAGTATGGTTATGTTTGGTGAAAGTGTGAAAATAAGATACATGTCCAACAAAAATTACCTGTCTTTTGAAAGTTTTTTTAAAGTTTTCCCAGCATGCTTAGGGTGTAACACTACAGCATCATATGGGTTATCTCTTCTGTTTCAATAAAAATATAGCATGATCAGTGAGAGAGGTTTGAACCTTGATATAAATTGTGATGAAATGGTTATCATGAAAAGCTGGATTGATTCAGAACTGACTATTCGCATGATTAGAGCTATTCAATTCAATATGGCAATCGCATACTAAGCATTTCTAAAAAAAACTAATTAATTGCAACCACTGCCTTTTGAAAATAGCCTTTGAGCTGAAAGTGGCTCTCCAGTAAGGTGAGTGATTAGCAGAGCTGTGCTATCAAAATATCTTTAAAATTTTGTGGATTGAGAGAAAGATAATTAGATTTTCTAGGTTAATGAAATGAAAATGGCGTGGGAGCTAAAAATAGCTCTCTTGCACAAAGTAGTGTGAGTGATTATGGGGGCTATACTATAAAAATCTTTATCGTTGTCATCATATTCCTCGATCTCATAACTCTTGTCAGACGATGATAAGATAGATTCTGTGTCGCTTTCCGAGCACTGCATGCGTATAGCGGCCATTGTGAAACGATGACAAATTCACCCCAGTGACGTCACAAATCACCCTTGTATGCTAATTAAGTTCTCCAGCTGGAGCCTCGTTCTTAGTTGGCCAAGAAATTGGACGTGGGCGTTTCTTTATCCAGAACATTATTATTATTGATACATTTTTCACTTGATTTTTTTTCATAATGTTGTTTATAAATAAATTTTGCACTCGAAAAAAGTCAATTGTCCCAATTCAGTTACACTTTAAGCATAATGTAACCACTGATGTAGACGTATCGCTCCACTCAGGTGTTACCAGTAGTTATAGCCATACCATCTGGCAACATAGATTGTAAATTTTGTGGCATCCTAACAATAACCTCATATTATTATACTTACTTGCAGACAGCAGCTATAGCCATACCATCTGGCAACATAGATGGTAAGTCTTTCAGTGAATGTACAACAAGATCCACTCTTTTATCTTGTAATGCTAACTCCAGCTCTTTTGTAAATAAACTCTTTTCTCCAATCTTGGATAATGCCTTGTCCAAAATATTATCCCCTGTGGTTGACATGGTAACTGAAACAAGAATTAGTTTTTTTTTTTTTTTTAAATGGTATTCACTCTACTGGTTTTATAAAAGCAAACATCTTCAAAGAAAACGCATTAAAACCAAATTTAAATAACACATGCAAATAACAGTATATGAAGCAAATAAGATACATACTTTTGGAAATATTATTTTGAATTCACTTTACTGTTGTATCTCTCACTCAGAAACATACATGTAGCATGAGTGAAGAATTTGGATATTATTTTCACTACAGTTTCAACTGTAATAACATATAGTAAGTGTACGATTGAATAATATCTATGTACTTACTAATTTCAAATTTGTGATCAGGGTAAAACTTTTGTAACTGACTGACAACATGATTTGTTTGTATCAGTGCCAACTAGAAAAAAATAATAAAAAAATTCATCAAAATATAGTTTCAAATCACTACAAATTTTCTTAGATGTCAAAGAACATTTGCTTCAATGGAAGGCTTCAAACAATAACACCTTTGTGTTATTGAAAACCACTTTTCACACAGAAGGTGCTTGCTCGCAGCATGCTTTAGGCACACACACCCCTGCACAAATGGATTTGTATATTAATAGCCATGCCACAGTTTAGGTATAGACATATTTAGGGTGGAGCGAATGCAAAATAAAACAATTTTTACACATTCTAATATGCAAATCAATGTGCGGCAGAGGAGTGTGTGCATGAAGCATGCTGGGAGAAAACAGCCACTGTATGGAGAGTGATTGAAAACATGAATGACACAAGTCATTGTCAATGACACGTCCTCGTTCCGTTCCGTTCATATTTGAGTGACATAACCTCTGGAGATTATACATCCTGGTATATGCTAAGTGACATATACATTCAAAGCAGATCATGACCGAAATGCACCTGTATATGTACAACACATTGTACTACATGTAAATCTGAACAAAATCCATCCATGCATGACTGAGATCCGGTTCCGGAATTGTGAAAATACGTGATTTTGATGCATTTCCGGCCTTAAAATGGCCATCATTCAGCTATTGTTAAGCGGATCATGAAA